TCTTGACCCCTCCCCCTATCCCCTCCCCAAGACCTGGACGGGGGGTTCGCGAGCGGTCAGACGGCACATTTTCGCCCAAGACGGCCCCAAAAGCGCCTCAGAGAGCCCAAGATGACCTCCAAGATGTCTCAGTGTAGCGCAAGATGGCCCAAAATGGTCCAAGAGGCCCCCAAAACGCTCCAAGACGGCTCCAAGAGGCCTCCGAGACCTCCAAGGAGGCCCCCAAGAAGCCAACCTCTTTCAACAACCTGGGGAAAACGAGCGATAATTGCATCGTCGCCCGCTCGCTTCCGATAGCCTTCCGAGGCCTCGAGATGGCTCGAAGATGGCCCAAAGGGCTCAAGAGGGGCCCAAGAGAGCCTCACGACTGCCCCAAGAGCGCCCAAGAGCGCTCCAAGAGCGCCCAAAGAGGGGCCCAGGAAGGGATTATTGGGGCTCCCGAGGGGAAGGGCGAATTGCAATATCCCCTTCTGTGATCGATGTCCTCCAAGATGACCCCAAAAGCGCCTCCAAAGCTCCCAAGAGCGCCCCAAGAGGGCTCCAAGAGGGCCCCAAGAGGCGCCGAAGAGGCGCCAAGAGGCTTCCAAGAGGCCCCCGAAAGGCCCCTAAGAGGCCCCCCGAAGCACCCAAAGCGCTACAGGAGGCGTCAAGGACCGCTAAGAGGCACCCGAGACGCTCCAAGAGGCTTCCAAAAGGCTTCCAAGAGACATCCGAAGAGACTCCGAGAGGCAACTCGCCTTGGCATCGTTTCTGGGTGGCTGGTGGGGATACTTTTTAGTCCGCGGCTCCTAGGCGAGAGACAGGGAACGAACACAACGTCCGGGGCGCGGTACGTCATTACTTGGCGCGAGATTGCCGCGGATTCCAGCGGACAGCACTCGCAGCGGCACATGCACATGCCAAGGACAAAATGCCCCTCATTGAGACGCATTCCAGCGTCTGCTGGTGACTGGCCCAATCAGCCCGGCTGGTGGGGAAGCAAAAGGCGCGGCAGCGAGGCGGCAACGGAACAGGGAGGAGAAGTCGCCCTTGCGGCGCCAAGCTCCAGCCGAACCGCAACCGTAAGCGAGGCCAGCTGGTGGGGATACTTTTTTTGATTTGCGGCCCGCAAGGAAAAGTCCAGAGGGCGGTATGAGGCAAAGGGGACTGGTGGGGATACGCGAAGCGTCAATAATTAGACGAGAGTGTCGACTTCAACGGTGGCAGCGGTGACAATGATGCCGACCATGGTGGTAATGATGATGATGATGATGATGATGATGATGATGATGATGATGATGATTATGATGATGATGCTGCTGATGATGGTGACGATTGCAGTGCTGACGCTGACAATGATAATGGCGATAGCCCAAATGAGGACGATGAGAAATTGCTCGCCCGCAGAACTCCAGACAACGGGCTGTCGTATGTTGTTTGGACGCCTTTGTGCTGCAATAGTAAGATACAACTGGTGTTGCACGGATGTCGACGCACGCGCGCGGAGATACGCGCGTGTGGCCCGCATGGTATTATTTGACAGTGGTGGAGCGTTTTCGACATGCGAGTGCAAGTGGCCCGCCTGCTCTTATTTGACACGATGGCCACCCAAGTATGGTGTTCGGGAAACTTCAAAGAGAACGCTCGCGGAATTATCGCACCTGCTCCGTTGAATAACAACCTGTTGCTTGTTGACTGGCCGTTTCGTGAACTTGCTGGGCACGTATTGGTCTTCGCATGGTGCTGACGTGCGCGGACGGCGGCGCGCGCATGTGTCCCGTGGTGGCCGTGGTGGTGGCGGTGAGAGTGATGGGGAACGCCCGTGAGCAGAATGCTGACGAGGGCAGAAAGATCGGCAATGACGGCGGTGACGGCGGCGGCGATGATCCCGACGACGGTGATGACGCTGACGGTGGTGATGACGATTGCGCTGGCAAGGACGACGAATACGCGCACATCCGCGTATACGTCGACGCCCTGACATATTTCAGTTGGGATCTCATGGGGCTCCGTATGTTTTGAAGTATGTGCTAACACAATGAATGCGCGGGCGCAGGTTTGGAAGACTTTCGAACCGCGCGCGCGCGGAGGCGCGCGGGTGTGGTTTGAGATGTACTATTTGATAGAACTGGTGGGCGGTTGGTGATAATGGCGCGTTTTCGACATGCGCGCGCAAGTGGCCCGTGTGGCCTCGTTTTTCATGTGGCAAAATGGCTATGCGCTACTTCCTCTCTTCCGAGTTCAGCATGTGCGCGCGGAATTCCGACATCGGGCTTTCGCTGGAAAACCACTGGTGCTCCTCATCTTGAGTGTGTCTAATTAGCCACCACTAGTTGCTTGCGTGATTTGGACGCGCGCGTGCGCGGCCGCGCGCGCGTGACCCGTAACGCATAGTTCGCGAAGAATTCCCCACACAGCACGACTTCTTATATATTAAAAAGAAGTAAACAGATTGAGTTTCCAGAATGGACTCGATCAAGATCCGCTCCGGATTATGCACGAGCTTGGATAGATCCAGGGTCCAGAAAGGACTCGGCCAAAACCCACCCCCTGCGACGCCTGCAGACGCCGTTCGGACTGGAAGGGGATCGCGCCCACACGCCATCTGCAAGCAATTCCTGCGCGGCCCTGTGAGCCTCGCGTCCTGCCCGGAGCATGCTGAGGGGTGCCTCGGGGGCGCGCCGAGCGCGCGCCCGAGCTTTTCGGGCCCAGGGGCGGTTGGTTTTGCAGCACGCGCGCATCGGGAACGCCTCGCACACTGGGGATGGACTTCGCGCCTGGGGGGTGGGGTGTTTTCACGTCCCCCGCGAGGCCATGAGCGGACAGCTTCTGGCCTGCACCTGCGCCGCGCTATGACTCCACAGCAGCAGTGGAGGCTGATCGCAAAACAGGCGGAGCCTTGCCAGGCAACAGTGAGGCAACACTGGGGCAACAGTGAAGGGAGCGCGTCGGGCCCTTTCCGCTTTCTGTGAAGCAACAGTGAGGCCCCACCACCCGATGCATTAGCTCAAGATGCGTTCACTGTTGTGGCCAAGTCCTTACGAATTTGGCACTCCAGGCAAAACACGGCACCATCTACATGGCCCTGGACAAGCGGTTCCGTGGCCCCTTTCCCCTCCTCCTCCTCCCCACCTCCCAAAGCCCCCCTCCGCCCGCCCGAGCGCGGTGGCAAAATCGCGCGGCAGCGCAACCGGATAACAAAACGCCTCATCAACCCCAGCCAAAATCGTTGACCCCCCTAAGGGTTTGAATGATGTTCGCATTCTCGCCTTTGCGAGTTTCCGTCAGCTCAAGACGGCCCAAGAAGCCTCCACGATGACCCTGAGACGGCTTAACAGGCCCCCGCGAGGGTCCAAAGATGGCCCAAGAGGACCCCACGTGGGCCCCAAAGGCACCCAAAACGGCCCCAAGACGGACCAGGAGGGCTTCCCGTGGGACACACGACGCCCTCAGAAAGCCCTTCGACTGCCCAAGACGGCGCCGACATCCACCATGCTGCCAAGAGGGCCCCAGGACGGCCCACGAGAGCCCCACGCCGGCCTCAAAAGGCACCAGAACGGCCCAAGAGGGCCCCAACGGACCCGCAAGACTGCCTCATGGGAGACCAAGGCAGCCACAAGACGGCACACACGAGCCCCATGAGAGCTCCTCACACGAGTTCCTTGAGAGCTCCTCAAATCATGATGACGAACGGTGTCGCGTGTGACAGTATTCCTCTTCCTCCTCCTCCTTCTCCTCCTCCTCCTCCTCCTGGTCATGCATCCTCCCCTTCCTCATCATCATCACGGCTCTCTCAAATCTGGCACGGTGGCGGGGCTTGGCAGCTGGAGAATCAAAATGCTATGATGTACAGCGACGCAAGCACATACCATTATGGCTCCTGGTAAGCTGTGCAAGCAGTTCTTGGTAAACGGAACACCGGCTGCAACTCATCTCGGCAAGCGGTCTCCAAATCGACGACCGTTGGTGTATCGGAGACAAAATGGCCAAGACCAGGAAACTTGTGAAACATATGTTGGCAGCGCTGAAATCCACAAACATGCCGTAGGCACTGAAATTAGTGTATTCAGGCCCCCCAGATCCTCAACATTCAAGATCTTGCTGAACGACATGCAGGAAGCCCGTAACCCCGGTTTCTGGGCAGTGTTGAGCGTTCTTGGGCGTTGCTGGGGCTCGTCGCATGAGTTTCGGCCATGAGCGCCACGGCCCTCGACATGTCTGTGTCGACATGACCGTGGTCGTTATTGGACGAGCGCGTTTCACTACTCGCAAAGTAGTGACTCGCAAATGGCCTGGATCCGCCGCGGGGGACTTACGATACATCAAATAGAGGAATATGTATATGTATATATATATATATATACACTTGTTCCGGACAATTGCGAGTAGGCACTTCGGGAGTAGTGGAACGCGCCTGGTGAGTTATGAAGGCCCTCGGTGCAACAGATGAGCAAGTACGGCTCGCTCGGGTCCGTGGCTGGCGTCGTGGTGCGGCAAATCCCACAAGGTGGTGACCAATTCCAATTGAGCTCCACAAGAGCCCAGTACGGCAGTGCCTCGGAATGCCCCTCCACTACACTGAGCGGCATCCGCTCGTTGGGGCCAGCACGACGGCAAGATCAGCGAGGCGTTGGCTGCACCGCGCAACCCTCCGGCACTGAAAAAGAAGATCAGGCTGCGGATCGCCTGCAGCTCCAAGCGAAACGTACACCACGAAGGTCAACGCCACCAAAGCCACCGCCAACACCACGAACGCCGCGAAACATAGCCTGCCGACCATCCCGTAACGCGCCTGGACACGCACGCCTTCGGTGAGGCTGCGCCAGTCCGCTAAGCAACTCACACGACTGGAGCAGGGAGGCCGCGGATCTAGACGCGGATGCAGGGCACATCCCTCGAACCATAATGGCCAAGGATGCGATGCGCCGCGCTATGTTTCGCGCTATGATATGATGCGCGGTAAGCCATCATCCGAATGATCAGCAGTTGGCAGGGGCTCCTAGGGGAAGCCGAGTGCGGTTTCACAGGAAGCCGTTGAAGGCCAACGTGGCCACCATGCCACTTTGAATACAAGAAGACCCGAGTGTGGTTTCACGGAAAGCTGTTGAGGACCAGCATCGCCACCAGGCCACTTTGAACAGACGGAATAGGGACCCTTGGGCGAGCCTCACTCGGGAATCAACTACGACCATCCTTTGAACGAATTTGCAAATCGCCGCAAGCAGCCCAGAAGGGTGCAGCGACGCAGCAACGGCACAACATGATAAGATGTGATGGCCGATTGTCCCCAAAGGATAGCAACTCTTGCCACAGATGAACAGGCACTGCTGAATGACCGCCAAGCCACTCCAATCCAGCCCGAAGTTGCCGTTGGGCCTGCCAAGATCCAGTGGGGGGACATTCTGGAACATTGAGAAAACACAATGGAGCCCGTACTCCCCTCGACCCGAAATGTGGGGTGTCTTGCGCCTTGGGGCTGGGTTGGGGCGGTTTGGTAAGTAGTGCTGCTGTTGGGCATCGTGCCCACATTTTCCGTCCCAAGTCCGGGCGTGCAGAGCATCACAGGACCGACAGGCAAGTGACCGCGGCCGGGTGCCGCAACTCCCGCTCCAGCTCCCCCGTCCCGGCGCGCCACACTCGGAGCCGCGAGTCAGCGCACGCGGTCAGCAACCAGGGTCCGCTCAGCGCCACGGCAACCGCTGCGGCGGTGTGCGAGTACTCCAGCAGCCTCACGCCGGTTCCTGCGTCCCACAGGAAGACCCGCGCGTCGTCCGCGGCGGAGGCGAGCCGCTCCTCGAAGACGGTGCACAGCGCCACGGCGCGCACGAAGTCGCCGTGGGCGGAGATCGTGCGCAGCAGCGACGGCGATCTCTTCTCCCAGATCCGCAGCGTGCGGTCGTCGCCTCCGCTTGCCAGGAATCTGCCGTTCACCGCCAGGCAGCGGACCATCGACGTGTGCCCCTGGTTCGGGGGCGGCCAAGAGGGGGGTGTCAAAGAGGGGTGGGCGCAAATCATGGCTGGCGGCATGTGCGCGGCCCAGGGAGGGACTCAGGGGCGTAATGAAAGAAGGAGAGGCGCCATGAAATCTGAGGAAATATTATGGCCCACGCCATGATATCCACACCCCTCTAGTCATCACCCCTCTCTTGGCCGCCCCCGACTGGTACGCGTGCACGCACTCTCCAGTGGAGAGGGCCCACTTGCGGACGGTCCGGTCCCGCGAGCCGGTGTAGAGCACCTCGTGGCTGCCTTCTGCCGCAAGTGCCAGGCAGAGCACGGCATCCTTTGAGCAGGGGATCGACTACAGAATTAATGCACCCCAGAATTCATTCCCCCGCAGAATCGACGACAAAAGACGTATAACGTCCCGTAGATCTATAAAGACACTCTACATATTTCTTGTATGTTCGGCGGGATAATCAGTTTTGAAGTGAATCGATTCTGTAGTCGATCCCCTATTCGAATCCTGGTGCAAGAGCCGGCGCCAGGCCCTTCGGCTGCCGTGCGTCAGGCAGCCCGAGAAGCGGAAGTGTAGCTCCGCTGGAAGCTGCAGGCTCCGCAGCTCCCGGCGCGAGACGCCGCTGGCGACGGCGGCCTCGGGGAGCAGCCGGTAGTTCTCCTCCAAGGCCACGCCCCCGAGCTCGAGGCCCGATTTCAGATAGAGCTCGCTAGCGTCCCCGATCGCCGCCCTCTCACAGAGCTCCGCCAGCTCCGCCGGGTCCGACACCACGGTCCGCACCACTGGGCAGTGCGAGCGGTACACCAGCACACAACCAGAGGTGGCCGCGCACGCGACCGTCCTCCCGTCGCGGCTCTCCACGATGCCTGTGATCGCGTTGTCGGTGCCCATGTTCTTCTCTCCCCGGAAGAACTCTTCTGGCCGGCCAGGCTTGTGGGGGAACTCCTCCCAAGTGTGCCGGCGGCCGTCCCACGTCCCTGTGAACAGGGCTGGCCCTGGCGTCAGCAGGACCGCGCTCAGCGGTCGCCTGTGAGCGAACTCGTGCCGCTGGCTGCTCAGCAGCCGCCAGTCGTCGACGCCGAACAGGCGCGCCTGGCCGTCGGCGCAGCCAGTGGCGACCAGCCGGGGCCTGTCGTCCAAGTGCCTCCACAAGCCGCGCTTCAGCTTCTCCCTCAGGCCCGCGGCAGCGCTTGGGCCCACGAAGCCTGGGGAGCACCAAAGGTCCCTGACCTCTCCTGGGGTACGTTCTGACCAGACTTTCGAGGCGCATCCAGCCGTGGCGACGAGGGCCTCCGAGGAAGCCAAGAACGGCGAAAGCGACGGAAGGACTTGCGGTGTCGCAACCTTCAGACATATGCGATGTCCTCGCCCCAGAAGCCTCTCGACCCCTTCCCCGGGGCCGGTTCCTCATCCCGCGGCGGCTCTTGGCGGTCCTGCGGGGCTGGGCGAGGGCCCCCCGGGGCCGAAAACCGCCCGGAGCCCCGCGTCTCGAGCTCCTCGGGACGCCAGACGCTTGGGCCCTCCTCCCCTGCAGGCCGTCCACGGTCCGCTGCACCGCCACCGCGCGCAGCAGGCGCAGCTCCTCCCGACCAGCCACAACTGGGGGAGCTGTGGTCCTTCCCCCCCTGGGGGAACCCATCGCATCGACGACCACTCGAGAGGGGTGTCGAAATCGATGGGTCCCCCCGGGGGGTAAGGACCACAGCCCCCCCAAATTGTGGCTGGCCTGTCCTCGGCCCCCGCGAGCGCGGGCCGAGGCGGCGGCGCGGCCTGGCGCTGCCGTGCGGAGGTCGGAAGAGGGGGGGTGTGGCAGATCGGGGGGGGGGGGGCCGATCGTTCGGGCCGGGCGGCAGGGGGGGGTAGCAAAGGGGGGGGGTGAGAATCAGCTCACGTATAGCTGGTTTTCCCGGCGCCCCCTGGCGCCGGAGGCGGCTGTGTATCGAGGAATGGGCCCCTCGGTGGGGCCGAAACCAGCTGCATGCGGCAAGTTTCGTAGCCCCCCCTTTCCCAGTCCCCCCCTTTTGTCCGGCCCGAATCGTGGAGATGGCGATCTCACAGCAGGGGCTCGACCACAAGAAGCCTGCCGCGAGAAGCCCAACCCTGAGACCCCAGGACGTCCATTCCTTGTTGCTTCGGGAACGTCACGCTGTCCATAGCGAAACCATCAAACCCAAGAAACCCATGGCACCCTGGAGGCAAACAAGGTGTTTCTTGGCATGGGTCTCCACTGTACAGCCGGAAATCTGATCAAACAAATCATCATTGAAGAAATCTGGGCCAGCTTCCCGGAAGGTTCTTGACGCAAGCGTGGGCCAACTTATGCTGTTCACTTAACGCTGGAGTGGCGAACGTGCTCGAAAGACTGGGCCAACGTTCCTACAATTTGGTTGAAAATCGCTGGCTGAGCTTTTCGGAAGGAGGTTTCTTAATCAGATGCTCGACTGTATCTACTATCGGGCGTTGGCAGAACTGGGTATAGTGGGACCTGGTTTAGTGATGTGTACTGGGGGACGCCCCCCCGCCCCGTTCCACTAACCGGAACTGCCGCCACCCGAAAAAAAAAACGGCAGACCTGGTTTAGTGATTCTGGCCAATTTAGGGGCTCCAGGGCCCTACCACTAACCGGGTCCCCTTACCTGGGGTCCTCGCCATACCCGATACAACAGATAACATCGCCAGATTCTCGGTAAGACGTCAGACTCGGGTTCGGGGGGCTCGGGTTGGCCTGAGGGGGCCGTGATGAAAATGACGAGGCACAATCTGAAATTTGACGCGACCTCCCGCTGCAAGCAGCCCACGAAAACCGGACCATCAAGATCCAGGACACGCTCGTCCGACAAGCGTCGGCACACCCGAGCTCCGGCGTGCTCGAGTCTTACGCTTCCCCGAGATTCGGCACTGGCGGCCTGCAATTGCCGAGCGCGCAAGGGGGGGGGGGCGATACCTGCGGAGGCAGCGAGGGCTGCAGAAAGGGGGCCCTTTAGGGACCTTGAAGGGGGCCCTCTCGCCCGAGAAGTGCACCTCTCTTCCCCCTCCACTTACCGCCCCCCCCCTTGCGACGCGCAGTGCAAACCATATCCCCCCCAGATCCGACTTGCAAACAAAAATTGCAGCATGGCAAAAAATCACGACCGGAGTCCCGGACCCCCGTCTCTCTGCGCCATGCTTCGAGCTCGATCGATCTGCGAGGGTCCCAGGGCCCGCCCTCGAGCGAAAAAGCCCGCTCTGAAGCAATTGCAGCGCCAGGACCACACCGCTTCCCGACCCCGCGCTTCTAGAGGCCTCCCAGGTGGGGTCGCAGTATGTGGGGTCGGAGGATCGCCAAGCATCAGCGATGCCTCGGCGACGTCGGCGTGGAGAAAAGCGGGCTCCACATCGAGCCGCGCCGCCGACGCGTCGGCGATGCGGCGCGATCCTCCGACCCCACCTGGGAAGCCGAGAGTTAGGTCGGGCACGCCCTCGCACAGGCGGATGTGGGAAGAAACAACGACACATCTTACTACTGTTGAGTATGAAGGGACTCAAGGACACACACAAAATAAATACACACAAATAACAGGAATCCCCATATCTCCCCATGCTGTGGGGGTTCTCGTCTTCCCCCCCACTCCCCATGCTCTTCCACCTTTCCCTGGGAATCGACGATGACTCGTGCCTCTGTGTGCCTCCTCCCCTCCCGAGAGAGCACTCCTCCTGCACAGGGGCGCGCCCGACTCGAGCCTGGAGCCCCCCCGGGCCCTCGGGGGGCGCAGCGCCCGCCCCGACGGCCTCCGCCGCCGCGCGCCCGCCGCCCTCGGGCCGCCCCGGCGCGCGCCCGGCGCCCTGCGCCGCGGGAGCGCCCGGCGCCGCCGGGGCGCCCGGCGCCGCAGCGGCCCGAGGGCCGCGGGCGCCCTCCTCCGCGCGCGGCGTCGGGGCCTCGGGCGGGCTCCAGCAGCGGAGGGGGTGGTGACCCTGAGAGGGGGCACGTCGGCGGCGAGCGAGGGGGGGGGAGCGAGAAGGGGCGCGGGCCGCCTCGGAAGGCTCGGAAGTCCCCCCGGGCTCCCGAGGGGCTTCCTGAGCCTTCCCCGAGGACGGACAGACAACTTCTCAGAAGGCGCGAAGGGCCTCCGAGAAGTCCCGCCGCCTTCTGGGAAGGCCTTCTCCTTCTCATTGCCACCCCTCGCTCGCCGCTGGGCATGAGTTCGATCCGCTGGTGAACCGAACTGCAGCAAACATATGTCCCTCGCATGCCCCACCTGTCGGCAATAATCGAGAGCTGCTGGCGGCTGGGGGGCATTTGCTTTGGGCGGCTCGGTGCAAAAACCATCGAACTCTCTCTCTCTCTCTCTCTCTCACACAACACACACACGCACACGCACACGCACACGCACACGAATACACACACACACGCACACGCCCTTACTCACACACACACGAACACGCACACACACACACTCACACACACACACACACATACACGCTAACACACACACACACACACGAACAGCACACGCACACGCACACGCACACACACACACGCACACGCAAACGCACACGCACACACATCACACACACACACACCCTCACACACACACACCCTCACACACACACACACCCTCACA